TCTGAAAGAGTTTTTCTAAAATAATTATCTATTTCGCGTGCATTCAAATTTGATCAGTACGATCATCCAGTAGTTTCCAACCTGCCGATAAAAACGATAATCCCATTAGATTTTGTTCTACCTTGTAACGATAACGTCCCTCACCTGCATGCGGAATCGTTCGTTGTTCCAGCATCAGTATTGTATAAACGTCTTGGTAGTTGTAGATATAATATTAACATGTGTTAAGAAAAGTTATAAAAATATTACACGAGTAAGTAGATGTTTTGGTCAAAGAAAATTTAAAGGCAGTGTGTTTTAATGAAAGCTTTCTTTAATTCGCCAATATTCTTTTCGTTCCTATCATCTTACCTCTTCGCTTCTATCTCTTGACGAAAGGAAACGGGGAAAAACGAAGCGAAGGAGGTGACTCGATAACATCGTTAAGAAAAATGATATTGCGCGAGATTCTCACAAGAGACAGAATTAAATTGCCTTGGTGCCCCTCTTCCCGTGCTGCGTCGCAGTATCCCTCGTCTGATCGGGGGACGCATTAGAAAAACAATGTCGCAACGGCATACGTGGGTTATAGCCGATAAAAGTGATATTAGCATGTACAGAGTTAGCGCTTGATCGTCGGGCTTAAACAATAGCGCGTGCACGGCTCGCGGGGCTCCGTGTATAATATCTTAATTAAAATCTATGCTAACCACAAATTCTATCGCGCACCATACCTACCAAAACACCCCCATAAGCTAATTAGATTAGATTTTCTTTCCGTAGAAATTCACCTAAGCTCTAATCTTTTTCACTCTTTTTCTCCATTTCACTTTTCTCTTTCACCGTTTATTCTTTCAACTGATTTACATATCTCCTGACGTTTCCGCTCCATTCGCTTCTTGGTTTTTGCCTTTAACTATCTTCTCTCACTATCACTATCGCTCTCTTCGTCCTAATTTTGATATTAAATACATATATATATATATGCGTTCCCAATCGTACATGCAAATCTACACCGCATTGAAACGGTACTCGGTCTTATTAAGCAGGGTCCAGTCTTTGATTAGCCTCCAGTACAATTTCCGCCATGGTTCTCGATATACGATAGCATATAATCCATTCCTCATCGAGCTGAATCTCACTGCCGGTCTTAATATTTGCAACCTTCTGTTTGTTAACCTCTACATAAATTTTCTCTATGCACGCGACTATGCGCAAAGATAATCGGACAGATATTATATTAATCCGCAACGTTTGCACGAATAAATATTCTGCACCTGCTCCGACATTTGTCATAAAGTATGTTCATATGCGCGGTATCAGTAAATATTCGTTAAATTTACTGTATTTTAGAAACGTGTGGGTTGGACGTGATATGTAAAAATGTCAAAGTTCGTGATTACATAAAAGACTACTAAGATTAAATATGGAATATAGAACAGTATCTTCTGTAATATTTGCGAAATAATTTTAAATAACGTTCGATGTGTATATATTATATACAACTCACACTTATACTCTCACTTCATAAAATTTGTAAATAAAAGTTTAACTTTATCGATATTTCACTTGGCATGTAATATCACCGCTTATACGTCACAAGATTTTTATGTCACAAGATTTTCCTTCGACTTTGGATTTGTTTCTATCTCACAAGATTTTATATCACTACGACATATGCAGTTTAATCTCGGTATAAAGTTATTTCTTTGGAAATGTATATACTCACGTTTGATTGATTAAAATTAAGAATTTCAAAATATATATATATCTTATCACTTTTGAATAATTCTTGTTATTTGAAAAATAATCGGTATCACTCACTTTATTTTAACTCGTAAACACTTTTGATCTTGATGTCGATAAATATCTGTAAATATCACTTTTCAAAGAATTCTCCGTATTTTCATATTCGTTTACATACGTTTTTTCACGTCTCTCGATTTATTTGATCAATTTTCTGCTTTTTTTTATTTATTTCTTGCTCTCTTCTTTCTCTATCTCTTTCTCTTTCCTCCTTTCAGTTTCTCAGTCCTAAAACTATCATTTACTTTGCGATAGAGAGACTGGAAGGCATCAGATCTTATTATTTCATTATCAGATGTACATTAATTTCTATCTTTTCTCAGACCATGGCAGCGACGAAGAGGAACGCTGGTCTTACATCTGCCGTACCTCGAGCGACGCTGAACGACGAGGAGCTGGTAAGGACTTACCCTTTAGTCACTATACTTCACCTTTACCACTTCGTGTCACCAGTTAATAAACTAAGAGAAACATGCTTACTCTGTAAGAGAAGAGTTGGTTATCATCGCATCCCACTGATATTTAAGTAATCTTTACAGCGACTAACTCTTTTTCAATGGCATATTTTTAAAGTTATCATTGCGTGGACGATGCAATTTATTGCATTAATTAGTGCCACGTAAATCACACAGCGAAGCTTAATTACTTTCTTTCTACGTGATGTACTTCATTCGAGATTCCTTGCGCAATGGATGAGGGATGAAGAAAAAGTTTTAAAAGCGAAAGCGAAAGGACGTTTACCTTCTAGTTACGAGACAGAGATAATATAGCGAGAAGTAACATCAGAAGAAACATGGAAACATATATCAGAAAGGGAGAGAGAAATTAGATCGTACATCATTTAATTTTAAGTTTCAATACCGGTAAGAGACCGGCGCCCAAAGAACTTAACTTAACCACTGGACTCTCTTTTCTTTTCATATACGAAACGTGCTGCATTTTATCCTCATTTCCACGCTATTTTTTTCACGTAAGTGTGTTCTAGCCAGGTTCTGAATCTCCTTATTTCTATTTATCCCTCTCTCCTTACACTGTATTACTCTGAAGCAACACGTAGCGACCTAGTGTAAAACACATTAGCGGCTAGGATACCGCGATACGCATCACGTATGTACTGAAGAAATATATGCATATATATGCATTAGGTGAGAAAATAATGGTCGAATCACGTGTATACATATACATATATATACACATAAGGATATTCATAGACGAGTCTACGTAGTCTGTATGTATAGGGGTAGAATCACGACGTGGGATACCGTATCAGAGAGGAGTAGCTATAGGTTAGTGCTAGGAGTTTCCGATTTCTGTGACGTTGGATGTTCCTCGTGTATCGAATACCTGAGTGTCCTTTCCAGGTCACTTTGACACGCGTGCAATATTCGATAACGAGATATATCGATGTCTTTCTCAGATATGTAATTTATACGTCCTGAAGCACCTCGAAAAACGTTACGCGTGTAATAAGTTAATGCGGGTTAAAATTTGTATTGCACACTTTGTTAGCATTAGACGTAAGATTTAAGTCCGCAGAGTGCTTTTGTTAAAATATTCGAATGGAAAAGTTCTTTTGACATTTCCGATGATCCTTAGAATATCGAGGTAATGTATTGAAAGGTAACTCAGTCAGTCGCTTATATACATTCTTACGTTGGAATGAAGATATATGGATTTTGAAAAATTCATGCATCGAGGAACATCTCGAGTTCACACGTTAGTACCATAGTGCTTAGCCGATCGATGCTTTTACACCCTCGTCCTTTCGCTAGATAGTCTAAAGATATCGCCAGAAAAGTCTAACGATATACCATATATATATAGAAAATATCACTTGCTCTGAAACTTCTTCACGTACTACAGGTACTACTTTAAAAAAAAAAATATTTTTAAAAAATCGCGCAAAACGAGGTGAAGCGCGAAAATTCTAGATGTATGATATGAAATGTGATGATCTCCTTAAGACCGAGAAGCTCGCGTACGCTCGTGAAGCTCTCCTATGTAATCCTATCTCACAAGCATAGAAAAGATATCCAGAAGAGAACCAATAGGAGAGATGTTCTTGAAAATCTAAAGCCGAACGATGAGAGTCATTTTGTTTTCGAGAGTCACGAGCAAGTAGGAACCTAAAACAGTTACTAGCATATCCAATTCGCTTTTATTGGAACCATAGCAGGCTTTCCTTTGTGAAACCCATGTCTGCATATGGTTTGCGTGCACATGATTATGTAACTAGAACCCACAAAGGCCCTCCGATTAATAACTGAATCCATGATAGAGTTTTTGCGAGAAAGATCGAAATGGACAAAATCAAAATGCTAATCCTTCGGTATTCCGTTTATAATTTAAAACGCAAATTTTACATTAAAGGAAATGTACCTTAAAAGATCGATAAGAGTAACGCGAAGTAATAAATTAAAAGAGTGGCTTTCTTAAAATAAGGTCGTGATAAAGCTGTTTTATTTCTTCAATTACACAGAAATAGCCTCGATAATATAATTATATCTGATACAATTTTATTACACAATTGCTCGATTGATTGTTCATACGCAGGTAATAGAATTTTATATTACGTTAATGGAAATTCAGCGGTCATTTCATCATATGCTGTAAACGTCCGGGAATTCAAAGTACTTCTTTTCTATATATTTGCGATAAACAGAACGTTTGTAAAACATTATCTGAAATTTAATAAACGATTTAAAATACATCATAGCTTGAATGGAAAGAATGATTTTGTTAAAATATTAAAAAATTTAGCTAAATACAGATTTGAATTTTTAAATTTAAATAATTAAACTATTTTAATTAACATTAAAATAATTTTGTTGAATAGCAAAATAATTATGTAGGTCATTCGAGCACAATGGGTAATGCTGCAAAGTTTTGACATGCAATTAGCTTGTACGTTCTACATAATTATATATTCTGATGGTTTAACAAAATTATTTTCGAACCTATACCTACCTAATTTTGTTATATATTTTAGCAAAATCATTCTTTCCGTATAATATTGGAAATTTTGACTTGTCAGAAAACATCGACTACCAAAAGATTAGTAATTCACGATAATGTCCAACGAACCATCCAGAGCCCTCAAAAGTCATAACCATTACGAATGAAGAACCAAAGTAGAGAAACGAATATTTGCATAAACCGCCCATTGCCTCTTACCTTTCCCTCTTTCTTTAATGTAATGGCGATGCAATCGCATAATGAAACACCCACAGAAGATGCACGTGTACAAGAAAACTCTGCAAGCGATGATCTATCCTATCTCATCAACCACTCCTCACAATTTTGTCACCTGGACGGCCACGTCGCCGACGTACTGCTACGAATGCGAAGGCCTTCTCTGGGGCATCGCTCGACAAGGAGTGCGATGTATGGAGTGCGGTGTCAAGTGTCACGAAAAGTGCAAGGACCTTTTGAACGCCGATTGCTTGCAGAGTAAGTAATTTATATTTTGATTTTCAAGCGCGATTTTTGTACCTATGAAATATATTTATCACAAAGGTTATATTTCATTTCGGTTACTGAAAAAGAATTTACTAAATTTTAATAAATATTTGTTTGAATAGTACCAACTAATTATTTACTAAAGTGAACCGATATTTATTTTGTAAAAAAATTATTAATTCAAGTGCCTTCCTTTTATTGGTACACACATTTATTGTTTTGCTGCAAGTAAACGTTTAGTTAATAAATATTTATTAAAATTTATTAAATTCTTTTTCAATGTTAACATTAATTAATAATAAATTTTAAACGAAATTTATAAATTACATTTTCATACAGTAATGAATTTGAAGCTATTGTATAAATGTATGTGGAAGACTTGGAAATCCCGAGGCACATAATTTTTCCTTTTTCAGGCATGTAATTAAAAACTTTGGACTTATTTATTAACTAGGCAGTAATAAAATCAATTGTCCCTCGACGAGATAACAGAAATTAAGCGAAATCGAGAAGTTTCGTAAAACAAAGAGTGACTGATATTTCTGAACAGATATATATACCTATATAAATTACAATTTTTTGTTTTTGCTATACTTACGCAATTTAATTATTATAATTGCTCTATAAGACTCCGTTTATTGTTTCTTGCAATCACGCAGTGCTATTTTCATCATCGACCGGTGTCTTGTCAATAAACGGATATTACTCTCGTATTTCATACAAAATCGATTTGTAACGGAATAATCGAAAGATTATTGATAAACGAGCGATTGTTAAATCGCACAATTGAATTCCACGGATTGAGTGTCTTGCGGAAAAATCAATTTTTATATAGGCGCAATACGTTTACGAGGCCATTTCGTATTTTGGCTTGATAAAAGTATCCGCAATGACGTGACAGATTTTATAAACCAATCTCCAATGTCCGGAAATCAGGAAGTAATGACACTTTTAACGTCGGCCCGTCTATCAGACTTTCAATTTGATTCCGGTGATCTTCGCGTTTCTCTATAGGTGTCCTTTTCGTCTGGATACCATTCGCTATCGATTCGTACTAGCGCTCCCAGACTAATGATTCCCAACCTCTTCCCTTCTACTCTTACTCTGTCCTCGATAAAGTTTCTTTCCTTGATCGGACAGTCCACGATTAATTTACAGTCTCTCCGCCTCCGACTCGCCGCACGACAGTTTGCCCCGTAATTCCGTTCTCAATTAATTCTCTCTCATCCACCACTATCCGTTGTAATTTCTATGTACCGGGTGTTTCGTGTTACGTCCTTTGCTATCGCTTATCCTTTCAGATTTCCCTTTCCTTTTCTACACTCCTATCTGGTTATACGACAGGATTTCCGGTAATAATTAAAATAGCCAATATCGATAGTTCAGGAAAGTTGCTTCGATACATACCTTGGTGTAAAATGCGAAATGTGCCTGACACGGCGTATTAGATTGCATACGAAATGTTTCGCTACCACGATATCGTTCTTGCATCTAACGTGTCTGATGTCCGATTATATATAATCAAAATTGACGTCTATTGTGTAACGCGCAGAATACATGATCATCTATCACGATCTCTACGCGCCATATTTTCCAATTTGTATATAATTTTGCGAAACGCAATATCGACCGTTATGCCAATGGTATTATTAGTATAATGTTCGGATGATACTAAAAAAAAAACTGGTATTCAATCACTGCCCATGATACGAATCATGATTTTCACGGGATTCTAACTCGGAAAAAAATCGTATATATTTTTTTTGTAAGCGTTTTATCAGTTGTTGCATTGAAAAACAGTGCGGTATCCGTACCGAGAATTGCGTAATAAATCTTCTTTGCGTGTAAAACACGCTACTCTAATCTTTTTTTTTTTACTGGAGATAAAAGCGTTTTATCGACACCGGAGCGACATTGAGAAGATTGAGAATTAATTTGTGAATCAACCGGATTTGACCATAAATTTCAGTAATACATCTCTAATGAGAACCCAACTAACTGATTATGTGTAAATTTCGAATATATACATGTTTGTTAATATGTTATTTAATGATTCCATCAATTTTACAGGGGCGGCTGAAAAGAGCTCAAAGCATGGCGCTGAGGATAAAGCGAATACCATAATCACAGCGATGAAGGAGAGAATGAAGCAAAGGGAACAAGAAAAGCCGGAGATCTTTGAACTGATTCGGTAAGTATCCGCTTACTGCGCGCTTGTTTCTTTTTCTTTTCTTCTTTTCCTCGCAGCAGAAGTCAATCCAACGACAACCGTACTGTAAATCAATAACAGTTCGGTTCGAGGAGAAATAGCGTCGATCGATGTATCGATGCGATTTAACGATTTTTCTGTCACCACTGCTCGCTATTTTTGGATCAGTAAATCCACCATCAGCAGCCTCAATGGCTTATTCGTTGCGCTTTGTATAAAAATTTCATAAAGAAAATAATTCAATGTCACCTGTGATTGCTGTGAAGCAACGGCGTTTTTCTTTTAACTGTAGATAAAAAGCCGTGAATTAATTAGTTGCCGTAACAACCCGTTTGAATCCCTTTTTCCGTTTCACCCGGGACTCGGTCTTTGCTTTGCGGATTGTACAATAAATGGTTCCGCGAATAAATCGCCACAGCGAGCCAGATCTATTGTATTTCACAAACTCAAACATAGGAAACCGTTAAAGGCCGTATAAACATCGTTTGGACGAATATTAATGCATCACTACACACCTCTAGGGATAGCACATTGTGTGAATGTTCGTGAGTAATGCCTTACAATAAACGCGGCAAACACGATTCGCGTTTCAGACTTTGAAGTTATCTTCTTGTTAGAATTCTTGGAGAATTTGTGTATTTTACATCGCGCTGGGTATTTCGTTACTGCAGACGTGTAATCGATGGTCTTCCTATTCAAAACTTACAACAAATATATAATCGATAGTCTTCCAGTGAAAAAAACATTTGTAGATAATTCATTTGTAGATAAATTATATTTATATATATTAGTAATTTGTACATTTATTAAATAAATTGAGAGATAGAAACAAAAATAGCCAAGGAAAATTAAGTAACGATTACGCAACTATTTTAGTATAATAATTCATTTCAGTATTTTCAGTTATAATAATTTCCCTATAATATTATCGATTTAACGGGAAGGCAAAACATTCAATAAATGTATTATTGTTATGCAATCAAATAAGCTGTCAGAATGAAATAATCTCACAAATTAATATTGTCCAATCAATATAATCGACATTGACATAAACTACAACGTGCATATATTCATGATATTATTCTAGTTCAAACTCTCTAATTATACTGAAAGATCGTGAAACGTAAATCTTTTGAGTGTTATTTAAAATTTAATTTTATAACCCGATAATATTGCTGATTAAATATTAAATATATTTATTTAAATAAATTCTGTTTTATTTATATGCGAAAATATAACGGGATCGCACGTCGAGCAATTGTTTTGAGATACCAAAACCGACCTATTTGTGGTAAATGATAAATGGATAACGCACGCGGCTTAGGCACGTCAGCATCGTTACAATAACCGTCTAATCGCATTTGCGCACCTTGCGTCAATCCGTCGCATATCTGCCATAATTAATTAAGCGTCGAGCTATTCGAGATATCTCCGTTACCCGCGCCGCATTTCAATCTTATTACCCGAGTATTGGCTTGTTATCACGACGATTATAAATATCGATGGCGCGACATAGAGTATGGTTTTGTAAAAGCTATCGCGACAAAAGCCAGCTCGGTAGGCTGTTGGCTAATGAAAATCAATGTTAATTAATATTGCTTGCGCGATCTGCATTACAAGAGACCTAAATAAATGCCAATAAATTGGTTGATACAATTAGTTTATGTAATTAGCATAGTATAAAATTTCTTTTAGGTATATAACCTTAAACTATATTTATACAATTTATAATTATCTGCGAAATAATTATTTTAAAACAGAATATTGTGTTTTTTTTTTCAAACTATTTTTAATCAACTCAACGTAAAAACATGATGTAAAAAAAATAAATGTAGCAGACATTATAAACTTATTAGTAAACGCGAATTGATCAATGTTCATTAATACTAACAGATATTTTTCTCGTTTCTGTCGAGCATTAGCAAGCATTAGTAATTTAACTTGTCAGTAATTAGCACGAGCGAAATTAGTGCGGAACAGCTGCAGCGATCGTTATATTACGTGCCAGGAAAAGCAGCAGGTCTGGTCGCTTCCGCAAGAAATACTGCAACGCAGAATGTTATGTCCGCAATCGTTATATGTATTACTGAAAATTAATTTAATATCCTAGGCGATAATAATTAGTTGTCAATTAAAACTGCTTGTACCCAGCGGCAATAGACTGGAATTAATCCATAATTAAATGAAACGCGTAGACTGATACAGCGATGCAGTGGCGACAGTGATAAGCAAAGAAAATTGTAAGGAAGAATTGATAAAATTAAAGCGGAATTTTCACCGTCACAGGCCCGATCTCGTCTTCTTTGAACGATATAATCACGAACGAGCAATTCATCGTTCTCGTTAGCGATTTGATTGATGAACGGCAGTTTTAATTAGAAGACTCTTTTGTTCCGCACGCGTATTAAAATTGTCCATTGCCAAAACGCTCGATTTACTGCTGTTTTTCTTTTATTCAGAATATTGGAAAAATTTAGCAAGAAATGGAGCAGTCTAAGCAAACTGCAATTGATCTTACAAAGAGAATTCTCAAGCTATCACGTAGCGATTTGCTGCAGGTAATAATCCTGTAACGTGTTCTGTTTCACGAAATGCTAACTAAAAGCGAGCACAGTTTTCCGGACTGTGAAAGAGGATGACTAAATTCATATACCGTTTGAAATTTTATTCGTGTTATCTTAAATATTTGTTCCCTTTTTTTAAATTCCTACGGACTAATAATATTTCGCAAAACGAAATAATCTTTCCTTGAGAATTCGCGGCAAAAGAACTACTTTAGATAAAGGCAATCTCGAAACAACGTTATATTTCACAATGAGAGAAACAGACGAGATCGTGGCCGTTGGCACAGCTTATGTGAAAGAGAGTCTCGTCGGAGTTTAGGTCAGTCTTCGGGGTCGACGAAAAGGCGCACTTGGGTCACATGATGGCGGTGGAGCAGTCGGTTTTGGACGGTACCAGCAAATGGTCGGCGAAGATCGCTATTACAGGTTTGTGGCCAGTTCGTGCTCGCCGATTCCTAAACTGGTCTTGTGCACTCTCCGTATCCCACGCAATGAGCGTGTCATCAGTATAATGTTCGTCCCGATACATGATACATATGTGTGCTGCGTATGCCTATATATATATTTTGACCTGTATATACAGTACGAGTCACCGTTGTCCCCATATATTTTGCCTATATGTACATAATGCGTGTACGCACAAGATTATACTTTGATTACTTCTTCTTCCTCTTATTATTATTGTTATTATTATTGCCATTACACCTAGATCTGACGGTAATAACTGGCTCTTGGTGGCTGCCGCGCGTGTGGCTGTATTGTATTGATTGTGCCATGATTGTACCGATATTGTAACAAATATCATTTTACGTGTAATTCCACTCCTATGTGTAATCCCGGAAACTGTTCGACCATCGTGCGATAATGTGGTTCATTTAAAGGGAACGATCTCACGTTTGAACTACAAATTGTAATCTGAAACTTAGCTTTATCCGTAATTTTCCCTTTTTCTTTAACTTTCTCATAAGCTCAGTGTATTTTATATCCAACAACTTTGTTACGAGCATTATACTTTCACAATGGACGAGCTATTTCCATTCCCTCCTCGGAAACACCTTGACTTACATACCCTTGTAACTATTGCCACATCCGACCAATGCAGATTACTGTACGTGTGCGCGTGTATGCTATGCTGCTGTTTTTACGTGTATGTGCTGGCGTTTTTTTATGATCTTACGTTTGTCCGCTGGATGTGACAGTACGCGTGCTGCTGACCGTTAGTGTACAACACCGTTTAATTGGACATTACTCGGTATTCGCCTCCCTATCAATGTTTTCCCTTTTTTTTTTTTACCCCCAACGGTACTTCCCTTCGTTCCAATTTCACGCCAATCCCAGCTGCTCCTGTGGCAACCAATCCGCTTCAACGAGATCCATGAAATCGAGTTTGCAGACAGTTCTCTCCTCGTTCGCACGCTCAACGCGCTATTTGCAATAGCCTCTTTTCCAGAAAACGAGTGGAGTTTCGTATTCCATCGGCGAAATGAAATCTCTCGTAGTCGGCCCGAACGAGTTCCTCCAGAAACAACACCCCAATTACCATCGTTCGGTGAAGTACTTATTTCCGGAAATTCTTGAAACGCATCTTGAACCGCCCGTTATTTCTCGTTAGTGAAAATCACCGCAGGTACACGCGCTTCTGATTCGAAATTCCATTTGTATGTCGCTCTGTTTATGCATCGATACGAAGATGTATGAGTTTCCACAGTGAACTTATATATGTACATACTCCCCGCGCGTCGCGTCATACGACCACACTGGTCAGGCATCACGCAATGCTTCTCTCCTCCAAGAGAATTTAATCGAAAGTCCATTAAGGTCACGTGGCAACTTGTTGTGGCTGCAAGTATGTGCCGTTGCTATTGTCTAAGGTAAACTCGGCCCGACTATAGCCATCGAGCTTCCATGATCGCGAGTCCCTGACCGATAGGCCAATACCACAGCGACGTCTATCGAAAGCAATCTACCGACCACCTGTAATCTTCGATATATCCAGGGCATGTTCTCTTTCCCGTTGCGTTTCGCTGCGGAGATGAGAGTTAGACGTCACGAGCATCGATCATCGCTCCGATCGCACGTGTCAGCTTAGCTCCTCGTTCGAGCCTGTAGCAGAAATAGGTCTCGCGTGTCGATGATAAGGAAAATGAACTCGTCTCGGATAGATATCGGATTAGCTCGATAGTTTGTGTTTAATGCAATTTATTACAAAAACATACGTGTTGAAGGATAGATAAATATTTTTTCGTCTTTCTCACCTCTTTATCTCGATAAATAAATTAGTGCTATGAAATTTATAGACGATAAAGTTTGTCAGACATGCAGGAGAAATATGTCGCGTAAAATACTTATCTTTGTTTGAAAGTGGTTTTATGAAGTTACGTCCCTTTTATAGAAACACTCAAGTTAGTCTGCATCGTTTATTCACTTCTCGTAAACAAACCACACGTGTCGCGCTTATCGATTTCTCTCCCATGCGCGGATAATTTCCATGTGAGATATGTGTCGCTGGAAAACACGTGCGGAAGAAACACGCGATATTGAGGAAAAAGCACCCTGACCGAAATATTTCACGCGCACATTCCACATTCTTTGTACTCGCCGTCTTCATTTCGCACGATGACACACCCCCAGGACTATTGTGGTTTCGGTTCAAAAGAAAGATGAAACCTTTCTTCTCCAAATCGTTGTCTTGTCATGTCGGCAGGGATGGTAAAAATGTAAAGCATACACTTCTCACAATACTTGGCGCGAGACACTACCGTGTCTCTTGATATACTTAGTATTTTTTATCGAGAATAATTCAACAGCGTTGATGGATGGTCATAACTTAAAATTTCGTTTTATTATTCTCTCTTCCTTTGAATAAAACATTTACTCTTAAGAAAATTAAGTTATCTCAGGCTTCTCTAAATCGTTTAAAAAATACGACTGCAGACCTTAATTTTTATAATTTTTAAACAATTTTTAACTCGATAGACATATTAAACTTTCGATCACGAATAACGGATACTTATAATTCTTGCTCGATGAAGAAAAAGAAAATTAGATTTTCCCAAGTTAATATAGACAAGTAGAAATTTAATCAAGTAATCGATCGTTTAAAAAGCTGTTCCTATCGTTGATCATCTTCGTGAAACGATTATCATAACTGAGAGATCAATGGAAGTCTCGTGTTGGCGATGGGCCATGCAAGTTGAGCAACAAGTTTTCTTATTCCTGGCTGATGGACGTGCCTTTACAGAACAGTTTCCTGCATAAAACAGCGCTAATTCTACAACGGCTGAAGATTAACAGGTGGCAATGCGCTCGATACAGCAAGGCGCGTGTGATCGATTGGTCTTCTTGTGCATACTTCCCCGTACTTGGTATATGAAACTTCGCTGAAACTTGATACGGCATTCCACCGTACGAAACGCGTCGTGTTCAACACGACTCTCGTTCTTTTCGACTTCGGAAAACCATTTATTATTTCGCCACACCTAAGCGTCAATCTGATCGTTCCTTTTTTCAAATAAAATTAATCGCGTTGCTTGCGGTTAAGTTATAATTCGAGATTCAAGTAGACCTGCCTTCCCGATTGACACCCATCATCCATATTCATCCGTTAAATTCCGTATGCTCGACTCGAGCAAAATTTGCGAAATTCTCTCGCACAGAAAATCCACATGGATAAAAACTTCGACCAGCGAACAGAACTAATCCATCTTATATTGAGGCGCGGATCTGAAACACACGTCTCGCTTTGCTTTTACACGAGACACACATACAGAAGTGCCGAGGTACACACACACACACACACACACACACACAGGCTAATCTCGGAAAAATACCCTGGCTGCGCGAATGTAATTTTGCTAGCATAGCTGAGCTGTTGAATATATCGCTGCTGCTGGATGATGTTGAATGATTTTGGACGATTTTCCGCCTCGCGACGATCCCGCGTCCTTCGGTGGCCTCCGTAAGACGTACACTTCCTGGTCGCCTCGAAGCGCTGCTGTCTCGAGAGGATTCTGTTCCTCGAGGAATCTCTAAAAGAGTGTCGATTGACAATAAAAGGAAAAGGATACGAGAGGTTGTCGAAGGACGAACCGATGACGACGACATTGTCTTCTTTTCAGCACGACGTTTTCAGTCGACCCGGACACGCACATAGACAGCCTCGAGCAGGCCGAACAGATCGTCCTTGAGGGTACCAGCAAGTGGTCCTGCAAGATCGCCATTACAGGTGACGATACTGATACCTTTAGAAATCCTTTTAAATGATCCTTCACCACAATCTCGATAATGAACCACCAATCAGTTCTGTAATCACGTACACACACGCTTGAAATATACGATCACACGAAAACTTTTTAAAATTCTCTACGCGGCTATAAAGATCACTAGTTATATTTTTCATCGTAATATTATCTTCTCTCACCAAGTCACGAGAGCAAAGTTTCAAAATCACTGTGATACAGGGCGTACGTCACGACAGCATAATTTCTGTCGCTTACAGATTCTCTGATGAGTTCGGAACTTTGCCTTGCGCGGCAGCAGACAGGCTACGAATTCATCCGACAATCCGTAATCAAGAGCAGATCTTGTGTGCGCGCGCGCGCACGCCCTTCTCAATATAAGCACATATCTTTCTCTCGTACACAAATCTCGATTTTTCAATCACCGTATTCCCGCGCGCACACGGCTCTCGCGATTCAAAGCAAACACGAAAAGATCTACATCACACAGAGCACCATCGGGTTAATAAGCAACGGCGCGTGATATATGAGGTATACTTTGCGTTGTGCCGCGTACTCCGCAGTCGAGTTCTCGCATTCCAATTGCACCAGCGGGGCATGCACATTGTGCGATCGATGCACTTCGTCCGGCACCCGAAGTCAAACCCCGAGGATCGATCGAGCGACGTTGCTGAATCTCCCGCCGTTGCTGTTCATTCTTGCGTGAAGTTCCGAAATATATTAAAGTTGGACGATATATATTGCTATTCTCGTCTCGCATTCCTGTTGTTACAATGAAAACTAAAGCAATTTATAAAGTTTCACCGGTCGACGGAAAAGCGCTACGACGACATCGTCGTTTCAACGAAGGGATTTTAATGTAATCCGGATCCGTATGAGCTACCGGGGAATGTCGATGGTTGCAGAGTAACCTGTCGAATCGTCGGTGAATTATGCCATTTATGCGCCATTTATGCGAGAATAGCCAGAATTCTCTCAACCACGCAGTCGTTTGTCGTTTATAGCGACGACTTTTATTTTTTACGATTTTTATCAAGATTCTGCTGGTGCTGCTACAACGCCTAGATGCCAATAAAAATGATAAGCGTGTGGACCGTATAACTTTACACGGCATTACAGGTAGCGTATGTCATAGAAAATTTCGTCGATCAAAATTGCAATCGTAGTGCTACGGCCGCGAATGATGGT